AAAAAAAAAAAAAAAAAAAAAAAAAAAAAAAGCAGAAGCTATGACGTAAGTGCAGCTCCTGTGCCGATTCCCAGGCCTTAATTCCTGCCCCGACATTTGCCGTGTGCCCATGGGCCTGTTATTAAAATACCCACCCGTGCCTCAGTTTCCCCTCCTGCTCACCTGGGTAGTCCTTGATGAAGGACTTGTAGAGGTCGCCCAGCTGGTCGGGTGAGATGTACCTACTGGGGTCGTCAGGAGACTTGAAGTCCAGGTCGTACTTCCCAGACCTGAAGAACTCGGATGCAGCCACGTCCATACCGATGACCACCTTGTCCGAGTAGCCCGCCTTCCCAATGGCAGTCTTCAGCAACTCCAGGGCTGGGGACACGAGGGACCGGAGTCACAGGTGGGCAAAGGGTAGCGGTCATGCAGGGACAGGAAAGGGAAGGAGCCGTAGGAGCATGGCCCCACGGGAGACTCGCAGCTACTCCTGGAAAGCGGCCTCCTCTCGGCAATCCTACCAAGTCCAGCACCCAGGGACAGCTACGAGCAGATGACACTAGCTGTCCCCAAGCCAAGTTTCAACAGAACCCAGGCTGGGAGCCAGATGGGAGCCCTGAGCAGCCAGGGCCACCTCTGGGCTGTGCCAGGAGCCAGGTGCAAAGCTGTCTCCAGTGGCAGGCATGACCTGGCCTGACCCAGAGGACAGAGGTGGCTCCTGGCCCCACCGACCCTGTCTGGGCGCTGTCTCCAATGTGGAAAGCACCCTCGGATCCTGCCTGTAGGTCTCCACCTGCCTAGGGTGACACGGTGGGCGCCCCGTGGGGAGACAGCCCTTTACCTTCCTTATTCTCCAGGATGTTGGGTGCGAAGCCACCCTCATCACCCACATTGGTGGCGTCCTTGCCGTACTTCTCCTTGATGACGTTCTTCAGGTTGTGGTAGACCTCAGCCCCGATGCGCATGGCCTCCTTGAAGCTGGCCGCGCCCACAGGCAAGATCATGAACTCCTGCATAGCCAGCTTATTGCCAGCGTGCGAGCCACCGTTGATCACGTTGAAGGCCTGGGCAGGGTAGACAGGTCACGGTGGCTCTGTGCCAGCCCTCCTCCCAAGAAGGACGGCATCCCTGCCACCTGCCCGCCACAAGTCGAGACCCCAACCCAGTCCCTCACTCACAGGCACAGGCAAGATGACCTCGGGGTTGCCTGCCAGGTCGGCGATATGGCGGTACAGGGGCACCCCCTTCTCCACGGCGCCGGCCTTGCACACTGCGAGAGACACTCCCAGGATGGCGTTCGCTCCGAACTTGGCTGCAACGCAAGGAGGTGAAGCACACATTTTAGTTTTTCCTAGGAGATCTGACCCAGGACCGCTGCAACGAACCACACCCTTGGCCCTTTCTTTTTGTGGAACCAGGGATTGAATTCAGACCTTGTTCTACTGAGCCATCTCCCCAGCCCCTCTTGGCCCTTTCTTGTTCTCATTTTGAGACAGGACCCTGGGTGGTATAGGCTGGGTGTGAACCGGAGACCTCCCTGGTGGAACCTCAAAAACCTGTAATCGCACACTTGGGAGGCTGGGGCAGGAGGATTGTCATTGAGTTCAAGGCTAGCCTGAACTATATAACAAGACCCAAGGGGCCCGGGGAGATGGCTTAGTGGAGTAAGTGCTTCCCTGGCAAGTACAAGGACCTGAGTTCAATCCCCGGTTACACACACACACACACACACACACACACACACACGACCCAAGACCCAGTCTCAAAAAAAAAAAAGGGAGAGGTGCTGGCTCAGTGGAATAAGCGCTTCCCTGGCAAGCGCAAGGACCTGAGTTCAATCCCCGGTTCCACAAAAAAAAAAAAAGGGAGAGGGGCTGGGGTGATGGCTCAGTGGAATAAGCACTTCCCTGGCAAGCACAAGAGCCTGGGTTCAATCCCCGGTTCCACAAAAAAAAAAAAAAAAAAAAAGGAAGAAGCTAGACTGTCATCCAGTTCCTTCCCAAGAGCTCTGCTGACACCCCTGGGAATCCCCACCTTCCCCCCAGCCAGCCACTCACATTTGTTTTCAGTCCCATCCATCTCGATCATCAGCTTATCAATCTTCTCCTGCTCCACGACATTCAGTTTCTGCAGGGAGAGGGGAGACTGAGGCCTGCACGACCCACCCCCATGGGTTTCACAGAACTCTGGGGCCCCAATCAATCTGCGTGCAATCTAAGCCTTACAGGCGCAGGGTGGAAGGGGCCCTGGCTGAGCTGTGGCCTGGGCTCCACCGAGCACAAGGAGAAGCTGGGGAGAACAGACTGCCTCCAACTTCTATCAGGCCTTTCAGCCACCAAAGATCCCATCCAGCCCCTCAGACTCCGAGGTCACCTCACACACCAGCTGGAGGCCATTTACGCTCTGGAGGGGCACACACACACAACGAAGCCCACTGTTCGGAGCTGGGCTGGGGCTAAGGCCACGCTCACAACCTGTCCTGACAGGATGCGTGAATTACTTTTTTGAGGCAGTCTCACTATACACAGCTCACGCTAGGCTCAGACCTGTAGGGATCCTCCTGCCTCAGGCTCTGGGCGCCACCCTTGGATTACAGATGGGCATCACTGAGTCTGGCCCTGGGTACCTGCTTTGTGCAGGGAGCCCAAAGTCATTTAGTGAACATCTGATGTGGGCCGTGGATCCAGCTTAGTGGCACAGTGTCTGCCTAGCAAGCACAAAGCCGGGCATTTGATGCCCGGTAAAAAACAAAAAAACCTGATCAAAATGGTATCTCAGTGAAGACTCTACAGTAAGAAATCGTCTTGAAAATTGGCTCAGAAAAATAAATTTTTTTAAAAAAGGAAAATGTCTCAGAGTAGTATTTTTTCACGTATCTGGTACAGGACCTCAGTACACAGCTGGGACTCACAGTGACCCCGTTCCATCCTCCCCAGCCCTGCGATCACAGGCGTGCACCACCATGCCCAGTCTCAGTGGTCTGCTCAGCATGCCCCTGGGCAGGGTCAGCGTGGCACGTGGTGCCAGGGATGGAACCCTGGTCCCTGCACTTGCCTAAGCAGGCATTTACTCTGTGCTGAGCTATCTTGTTGGCCTCAAGAGTACTATTTCTATCAAAACCCAAGCAAACTAAAAAACAATGTGAGACTCTGTAAATCTTTAATGAATGGTGATATACACATCTGTAATCCTAGCTCCTAAGAGGCAGAGGCAGGAGGGTGGGGACTGATGCCAGTCAGGGCTACACAGACTGCCTCAAAAAACAAACCACCTGATTCCATCACATTACACCAACAGTCTGGTATCTGCTGCCATTTTACACAACACTGCAGGAAGCAGCAGTTGCCTAGGCAGACAGCTCGGAGGCCACCAAGAGCCCCAGCGTCGTGTTCCCCAAGGGATGTCGTGCCTTGCAGGGGACCAAGAGACAAAGAACAAGTTATGGAACCTCTACCTCCTGGTACTAGGTGGAGAGGGACCAATTAAAGCATGTCACAGAGGCCAGCTGTGCAGAGCAGGGCTGTGAAGGCCAAGGGAAGGGCCCCTGGGACTCCTTCAGCACCTCTACTTGTACCTGCTGTTATATATGGTGCTGGGGATGCAAGTTGGGCCTCCCTGCTCTGTGACAGCCCCAACCCCAGGCCCCTGACAAAGAATTTTTCTGGAAAGTTGGGCTCTTGTGATATCCCCCAGGCTAGTGTAAAGTCCTGGGCTTGAGCCACCGCCACTGTGCCTGAATACAGGGATGTGCCAGTGGACAAGAGTTTTACTGTTGGAAATGAGCCAGCGAAAGTACATGAAAAACTTCCACAGTGAGTGGCCAACACATAGCTTCTCCGCCCCGAAAGACTCACTCTTCACATCTGGCCCTTCATTCCCTAACAGGCTTTGGCACAGTAGTGCACAACTGTCATTTTAGTTCTGAGGCTGAGACAGGAGGATTGCCTTACACTCAAGGCCAGCCTGGGCTACATGGTGAGATCCTGTCTCAAAAAAACCCAGTCCCTCTTCAGAGAAGATCACTACAGGGGAACAAAAGCTAAGGGCAGGACAGCTGCATTCCAGGTTAGAGGTGGGCACACAGGTGGGGTTATGTCATGCTCGATGTCCCCATGCCCATGCCACACGCAGGGATCCCCAGCTTCTGCAGCTCTCAGAATGAACTCCTCTGTGAACAGGAGGGGCCCTGGCCTGGGACTGACTTTGGTGGCACTGATGGGTGTTAGTGACCGGGAGGCAGGTCCTACCTTGCTAACCAGGGCAGGTGCAATAGTTTTATTGATGTGCTCAACAGCCTTTGACACACCTAGAAGGAACAATTGATCAATTACTGACATCAGTTAAGAACTTCAGGCTTGAGCAGCGCAGCTAGAGAACCACCTAGGGTGGAGCCCCGGGGCCTCTGCCTGCACCCTTCCCGCGCCCCAGAAGTGGATTTCAGCCCAGTCTGAGCGCTTGCTTCTCGGACCACGCAGGTTAGAGCCGCACAGGAGCCATCTTTACACATTCCAGGTGGTTAGTGTCATGTCATGCACCTGGCCGTGGCTGGCGCGTTACCTGAGTACACAGGGCTGGTGCCAGGAACTCATTGACATACTTAATGGGTCTGGAGACGCCTGCCCCACCAGGACAGAGGAGAGATAAACTCAGAAAGGCAGAGGGGACAGTGAGGAAATGAGGGGACAGTGAGGAAATGTGAGACTCGGCGGTGCTGGGGGGCCCTCCTCAAACCCTCCACATCCCCGCAGTGACGTTCGAACAGGCATCCTGCGCGCTGAGGCCTTTGCAGACCTGTGCTGCTGTCCTGACCCTGCGGAGACGGCGCCCTGGGACAGGGTCTCACCCATGTGCTCTGCTGCGACCTGGCCAGCAGATGCGGTCTACAAGGACCTGGCAGCACAGGGCTGAGCCAGATGCCCGTGGCTCAGTCAACAAACCCAAACCATTGCTGGCTCTCAGCAGCCCCGCCCTCTGTGCAGAAATGGGCCCCATCCTAAGTGGCAGGTTTTTCTTGCCTCAAAGTAGGCAAAAGAAATCAAACATGTGGAATGAAGACATCATTGTCCCCAAAGCTGCTGTGTGGTCACCGTTGCCATCGTGAGTGCAAAGCTGCCCAGGACAGTCCCAGCCTCACCCTTGCCCAGGTAGCGGGTCTTGTCATTGTCACGTAGCTCTAGGGCCTCGTAGATGCCAGTGGAGGCCCCACTGGGCACAGCAGCTCGGAAGAGACCTGCAGTGTGGGAGAGAAATGGCAGCTGAGAAAGGCCGCTCGCGCCCACTCACAGACAGCAGCTGTCACCAAAGATGCTGTCACTGCCTTCTACCAACTGGGAAGTTCTAGTGGTCCTCTCTTCTTGCCCTTCGGGTTTTATGATTCTGCAGTGCAGACTCTGCCGTGACAGATGGAAGCCTGTAGTTTAATGAAAATGACCCCGAGCAGAGCTTTAGAACTTCCATATGCCCACGGGCCAGCTGGAGAGCTTGCTAAACTGCACAATTTAGTCAGGCACCACAGTGCAGGCCTGCACTCAGGAGGCCGAGGCAGGAGGGTCACAAGAGTTCAAGGCCAGCCTGGGTAATGTAGCCAAACATCTCTCAACAAATGAAGGGCCGGGGAGATGGCTCAGTGGAATAAGCGCTTGCCTGACAAGTGCAAGGGCCTGAGTTCAATCCCTGGTTCAAACAAATGAAATAAAGATCAAGCAGGTCCTGCAGGTGAGGGGCGCTCATAGCTTCCCAGGAACCCTGGGAATTCAGTATGAAGCGTGCGCCCAGGAGAAGCCCCACTCCCTGCGGCAGGCAAAAGGAAAGGGCTGGGCCCTGTCGGGGCTGTGAGTCTACAGTGACTCAGCTCTGACTGGCAGGTCCTGGTGAGCCTTGGGGTCTGGATGCCTGCCAACTGCACCCACCGAGTCTACTTATGAAACAGCTGGATTTTCTTAGAGGATTTTTTTTTTGAGGTTCTCAAGTTGCCTTGGCTGGCCTGAAAATTGCAATCTTCCTCTCAGCTTCCCAGGTCATGTGCAACAGCGCCTAGGCTTTCAGTAAAGGCTTGGAGGAAGGCGCATCCCAAGGGGTTTTACGTGGGAAACTTCCTAGGAGACACGGCCAGATAGAAACGAGTGCCTCTGGGCTGCTCCACAGATCCGCAGACCACATGCCAACGCTGAAATCACACAGGCCTGGGCGCCCCTCTAGCTGCTCTACTTACGGAGGGGAAGAGCTTGCCCTGCCACGGGGCATCTGCTTATTTGGTCACATCAAGCTGTGTAGCCAGCAAGGCACGATGGGTCCTTTTAGGGACAGGTTCAAGGTGTCATTTTACCATCCTGACAGTGACCTGGAAGCCACCCTACATTCTCACAGAAGTCTGAGGGCTGGGGAGATAGCTCAGTGGCTTAAGCACTTGCCTGGCAAACACAAGGGCCTGAGTTCAATCCCTGGTACCACAAATAAATAAATAAAAGCTAACAGTTCTAACGGAAGGCCGAGGAGAAGCCTTTGGGACAGCCACCCCTCCCTCCCCTGGATAACAACTTATCAGCAAGTGTTGCAGAAATACTTTTCCTTGCCCAAGGCATTGCAATTGTTTGTTTATTTATTTATTTGTGTGTGTGTGTGTGTGTGTGTGTGTGTGTGGCCAGCTCAGCCCACCAGGGGGCGGGGCTGGCTGGCATGTGGTGCTGGGGGATTGAACTGCAGTCCCTGTGCTTTGCTAAGCTTGTTCTAAGTAGGTGCTTTAGACCACTGAGCCATCTCACCAGCCCGGGCATTGCAATTGTAAGACCACTTATTTGTAAGCTCATGGACTGACTTTTGAGACAGGATCTGGCTATGTAGTCCAGGCTAGTCTTGAACTCTTGAGTGCTGGGATTGCTGGCGCAGCCTGAGTGCTACGGCATCTGGCTCAGAAGGCCCGTTGTTAAATGGAGTGGGGCAGAAGGAACTGTGGGCCCTGGGAAGGTGGCACGTACCTTTGGAGGTGTAGAGGTCAACTTCCACAGTGGGGTTCCCACGAGAGTCAAAGATCTCTCGGGCATGCATCTTGAGAATCGACATGTTGGATTTCTGCGGGGAAACAGTTTCATTATGCACATGAAAGTGGACACACAATCATTCTAGGCGTCCGGGGCCCCCACTGGATACAGGAAGCCTTCATAGTGCTAGACAGCAGGGGACTTGGTCCCTTAAAGAAAGAAAAAAAAGAGGCCAGAGGGCCTGGGGGAGCAGCTCAGAGGCAAAGGGGCAAAGCCCACGCTGCCCATGGTTCACTCCCCAGCACCAAGAGAAAAAAATAAGCAAAATAAAAACACCCAAAGCCAGTCAGATAGCTCAGTGGACTAAAGCGCCTGCTTAGGCAGACAGCACCAGGCCTTCAATCCCTGGTGGGCCAGGCCGGCACTCTCGCCTCACCCCTGAGATGGTGACTCAGACTGCGTGTGGTGGCCCCCGCCTGTAATCTCAGATTGGGAGGCTGAAAACAGGAGAATCACTTCATCTGATCGTACTGAGACCCTGTACCAAACACACAAACGAAACAAAAACCACTCAGCCCTGGAAGGCCTCACCCTAAACACCCAGGCCTAGTTCTACACAGCCATTCCTGAACCGTGAACCAGGAAGAAACTGACTCGGTGGGAAAGATGGGTCACTGTCACCCATTAACAAGCAGGCTTGGCACATGGGCTGAGAGGGACCAAGGACAAACAGTAAAGGCAGCCAGGATGTGAAGGTCACAGAAAAACCATGTAGGACAAAGTCAAAAAGGGAGAAGCCACGACAAAAACCTGGCTTTTGCATGACAGCAGTTAAAACGTCTGGGGCATAATTCATCACAGGAAATTTGTAGTAGTATAGTGGGCTGGATTGACAGATTTGATAGTTAGAAATCTGAAACTAACGGTCAGATTAGGTTTTTAGATTATTTTGCTAACTGTAATAAAGTCCCTGGTCTGTAGTCATTGCTACAGCATTTTTTTTTTGGGGGGGGGGTCTTTCAAATTCCACAGTATCTGGGTTGATAGCAAAATGTGAGACATTCCAAATATTTTGGAGGGAGGGCAGTTGGATGTGGTAGCTCTCTTCTGTAACCCCAGAATTTGGATGAGGCAGCAGGACCCCATGAGTCTGATACCTGCCTACAGCGAACAGAAAGATCCTGTCTTGGAAAAAAGAAAAGCCAGGTGTGGTGGTGCATGCCTATAATCCCAGCACTGGGCAGGCTGAGGCAGGAAGATCATTGGAGTCTGGTTCAGACCAGCCTGGGCGAGGCTGGGTGAGCTCAAGGACAGGATGAACTGCATAGTGAGACCCTGTCTCAAAGAAAAAGAAAAAAAAGAAAAGAAAAAAAAAAAAAATGCAGGTAGAAAAAAACCCACAAAAAACATTTGCAGTAACAAAGAGGAAATAAAAAGTCCTCAAAGAAAGCCCCTTTTCTTTTGTCTTTCCTCCTCTTTGGGCTCCCAAAATAAAGCAATCCATGAAGCTGTAGAAATAAAGTGGATGAGAGGGCCGAATTGGTGTTCAGGAGCCATTGTCCTGCCGGCTGAGCTCCCGGGCACCTCCTCTGGAATGTTCTGAGGCGGGAAGTGGCACCATTTTGTTTTAAAGTTTCAAAACCACTTCTGTGGTTTTATTGTCTGTGTAACAAGAGACTACTGTTCATCCAACAAGAAGGTATCTAGTTTTTATCTACCGTGTTCCAAAAGGAAAATTTATTCATAAAGACACTCTTGAGTTTTAAAATTCTAGTGGAGTTTTCCAAAATTGGTTTTTGGCAAGTGGCCCACGTGGGCATCCCTCCCACCCCAGGTCCCTCCTCCATCTCCCCGATTCTCCGGCCACACGGATTGACTCCAAGGCATTTAGCAACAAGTCTTTCTCTCAGATCCACGACCTTTCTCGTTTCATTTTACGGAGAAAAGCTGAAATGACCATTTTGATGTAAAAATAAAATGTGACTTATCTTTAAATCAAATCGGAAACCTGTGCTCCAAAGTCATTCAAGTTCAGGGAGGGTAGGCCGGGGAGAGGCCTGGCTGAACCCGGACCAGGGGTACACCACGTGGACCCCGAAGGCCAAGCCACGGCGCCTGTGGCCAGCCAGGGAGCCCCGAATTCCCAACGCGCTCGCTAACGCTCCAGCGGCTGCGCTCGATGCCACCATCCCACCCATCCCGTAGCGGACTAGGACTGAAGGCTGCGCCTGGAGGCTGGGGCGGAGGCTGGGGCGGAGGCTGCGGCGGGGAGGAGGGCTGAGGCTTGCCGGGCACCACGGAGGTTGATCTCTGTACCCCAGGCCGCGCGGACAGCTCAACAGGGCCGCTGCCGCGCGTGGAGGGCACGTGCCGCCCTAGACCTTCTGCAGCTCGCGGGACGCACGTGGGTCTGTGTCCAGTTCCCGGGGGGATCCCACGCGGATCGGCACTTGCCCCCCCAAAGCACGTCGAGCCCCACAAGTGTGCCCGCCTCTTCACCCCGGGTATCCCCGATTCTGCCCAAGAAGGGCGGCTCGCACGCGCCCAGGTCCCCGCGCCGTACCGAGAAGGAACCCCTACCTGGCTACCGGATCTCGTCGCCCAGGAAGAAAAATGAGGGTGCTACACACACCGAGATGCGCGTTGAAGTGGCGAGGTGCTCTGCGCGCCGCCCGCCGGACTTCCTGCCCAGCTCTTAAGGCCCCACCCAGTGCCCGCCTCCGGCGCCCGCCCACTTCGCCTTGGCCTCGCTATTGGCCAGGCGAGCTGTCACTCAGAACCTCCTCGGGAAGGGGCAGGGCTGCAGCCACGGCTCAGGCCTGAGAAGGGCGGGGGTGATGGCGCGGGGGTCGCGGGGGCGCGGGGCCTTGGGGCGGGCTGGCGGGCGGGCCTGGCGGGGGGTCCGTGGGTCCCCTGCTGCTGTGTCCGGGGGCTGGCGAACTCTCAGATCGGGATTTCAGCCGAGCGGGAGCTGCAGAGCCGGGGACGGGCAGAGGCGTGGCGGGGCGGCGGGCATGAGGGCTCGGGGCCTCGTCACGTACTCCGAGTCCCGCACGCACCCGGCGGCGCTGCACGTCCGGCCACGACCTTGGGGCCGACCTTCGGGCGCCGCCCTCCGGCCGGCCTGCCCACTGCGAGGCTCGAGACCCGCGCGGTGGAGACGTTGGGCTGCGGAGCCGCGGGCCTCGTGCACGCGCGCCGCGTCCGTGTACCCTTGAACCCCAGACAAGGTGACCCCTGCCTTTGTCCTGTTTTTCAGATGCGAACCTCGACGCATTGTGGCAAAGAGAGGTTCCTTTTTCCCTGTCATATTTATCCATTTGTTTAGGCGCTGGCGGCTGAGCCCACGGCCTCGCACGTGCTAGGCACACGCGTACCGTGGAGCTGAACCCTAGACGTTCCCCGCCCCGTGTGTCTCGTCCGGGTTAATTCTTTACCTCTTGGAAATGCTGCTTGATGAAAGGAAGCTTCGTAGCCCAGACTTGCTTCTTCAAAATAGCAGCTCCAGATCACAGGAAGGGGTTCACCCTCTTCTGCACCTCCCCTACTCTCTCGGCCTACATGCTTGTGTACTTTTTTTTTTTTTTTGCGGAACCGGGGATTGAATTTGGGCCCTTGCACTTACCAGGGAAGCGCTTATTCCACTGAGTCATCTCCTCACTCCCTCTTTGTGTACTTTTAAATTTCTGCGTAATAAATCCCTTTGTGCCTCTTAACTGGTGAGCCCTGAAAATTCTTTTTCTGTGCTGTAGCCAGTGAACCTGCATCTTAATTCTACAGATAGGCAATGATTCCTTACCTTCTTGCCGGAGCTCAGGGCCTTGGAACAGGGATTTGTGATTAGAATTGCAGATAGGTCCAAGGGATTTCTGCAAGAGTGCAGGTCGGGTAATATTCCATGGCAAAGGAAAAAAATAGGTGAGGTCATTTTACCTTAAGCACCGTTATACATGAGCTCTGGGCTGGATGTAGTGGTGCTCCCCTGTAAGTGCTGGGAGCACTTGGGAGGCTGAGGCAGGAGGATTGGTGTGAGTCTGAGACCGCCCCAAGCTACAGTACTCAAAAACACTAAACAAATAAGTGCTCTGTGGGGAAGCACCCTCCAAGAGAGAGTTGTGCTGATCACCTCATTTTTCTTCTTCTTTTTTAAAAGTGTATTTTATTTTATTTATTTTTTTTTTGGCGGAACCAGGGATTGAACTCAGATCCTTGCATTTGCCAGTCAAGTGCTTATCCTACTGAGCCATCTCCCCGGCCCCCTAAAGTATATTTTAGTACAGGGTCTACAGCTCTCACTACACAGATCGGACTTACAGTGATCCGTCCTGGTTTTCAGCCTGTTACAGGCGTGTGCCACCGCGCCTTGTCTCTGTCGTGGAAGTCTCAGTGCGCCCTCCGAGGTGGGGCCGGTTGGGCTGGCCGGGCAGGCGGGTGATCGAATCCTTGGCCCCTTCTCTGGCTAAGCAGGCACTTTAATCTGCTGAGCTATCTGGCCCGCCCGATCACCTCAGTTTCTGTTATATTTATTTTTGTGTTTTTTCTGTTCCCTCTGGTCTAAAAGGCTGAGAGCTAAACCTCCCAGTATATTCCTATTGCCTTGCACAAAGTGGTTCACAGACCTTCTTGAATTTAATTATCTTCTGATCAGAACCTAAGCTACATTTGTATGTTAACCCCTTGCATTTGGATCCCTGGGGTGTCTTTTCCGGCTTAGGTCTTCCCAGCACTGGGTAAAAATGAAAGCCAGTGAATCCATGGCATTTGCTTCCCATTGACTAAGAAGCAGGATCTTGAGGATTAAATTCAGCACAGAAGCAACAAGGAGCGCTTTCGGTGTGTCGTTAAGAGTGTCACGATTTTGCAAGCAGAGTGTGATTTCGCCACTAAAACACATTTTTGGCTGCAAAAATCTATTATCCACCAGCCATGACTCAGCAGCTCAATCAACAGCCAGGGTCTCCTACGCCTTGTAAGAGCTGTAAGAAACCAGACATTTCAGACTTTATTTTTAGAGCAGTTCTAAGGCGTGACTCTGGAAGGGCGCCAAACAGGTTTTTTTCCCTTTAAAATGGTTAGAGAGATAAAGACAGAACAGAGCTCTTGCCATTGCTGTCTGGCCCAGACCAGGGAACCTTTCCAGAAATCAAAGGCAGAGCCAGATCTCAGCTGCTATTGCAAGATTCCTCGAGGCTTCTGCACAGCACCCAGAGCCAGCACTCTGACCACCAACTGTGGCTCAAATGTTAATGATTAGTAGCGATTCCTCCACCTTCAACACATTTCCAGATTCACAGGCTGCCAAATGCCCTCCCCACCTCCGGGGTGCTGAGGCTCATCACAGGTTGTTGCAGGCTGCAGGCATCACGTTTGCTTGCAGGAGGCTCAGCGGCACCCATCTTGCTAAAGATGTTGCGCTGTGCTGTTACTCCCCATTTGTAGAAGGATGATTGGGCAATGTCTCTGCTGCAAGCGGACAGAACTTGGGAGGTGCCCTTAAGCC